ATCCCAGATGGGCACCACCTGTGGCTACACCGTCCCCCTTCTCCCCCAGCCAGCTTCCTGAATGTGGCTGTGGTTAGCACACACCCTGAGTTTAAAATGCACTCTCTAAGCTGGCTCAGAATATAGTGCATTATCCTCTTTTCAGGAACATTTATTAGGTACCCATATGTGTATGGCATTTTAAAACAAAGTTAAATAATACAGGCCATGCTTTTCAGAAACCTCTAACTTGCAACCGACTACAAGGAATGAGTTAGTTTCCTTGGAAATAGCTCAGTAAGGAGGAAGATATAAGATTTTAGCCCTAAAAGGACATTAGAGGTCGCCCAACCCCTCATTGTGCAGATGGCAAGAAGAAAGCAGGACAGCTTGAACGGTCAGCTGCCCTGCCCATCAGTGGCAGAGCTGGTCCTGCATCTGCCGGAACCCTGTCCCCCGTTGTGCCTTCTGTAGGAGACAGTCTAGGTTGTGCTTCTTGTGCCTTTAACAAAGGTTCTCCGTTTGATCTTCTTGGCTAGGGAGCCACAAAAGTCCTCGGGAAGCTTAACAATTAAAAACACAGATAGATAACTCCCCAAACAGGCAACTGATCACATCTGTGAGTCCGGAGGAGGGAGTTTTCGTAATGCTGGTAAGAGGTGGTTAGGACCAAAATTATAAAAATTAGGTGGGAAGGAAACACTTGGCGGATGGTATTAGGCTGTTACAACCTCTGGCCCCACATGTAAGGACTATTCAGATCACTGCCGAGCCCCTAACCAAGGCCTAGAGTTTATTATAAGGGACATAGGCTCTTTTGTCCTCAAAGACACGAGCAATTAAAAATAGAGGAGGACGTCAGTAGTCTATGCAAACAGTTGAACGACGGCTTTGTGACTTGAGAGAGCTATAGAAACAGTTACCAGAACCAGGGGAATAAAACACAAAGTTTGAAAATGCCCGCACTATGGTATCCAAAGGCATTTGTTAGTGATGTTGAAAGGCTGCCCCAGGGCATTTTCCTGAAGTGAAACGGAAAAAGTCACATCAGAGTATGAGGTGGGCAGCCAAGGAGAGAGGGGGCCGGAGCCTGCGTTCTCACTCCTCTGGCTGGGAAAATGCTTTACTGTGCACATAATCAGCTTCGTGCTCCACTGGGCCTCGATTAGCGAGGGCCCGTCCCCTCCGTTCCCCTCTGTTTTGATCCTGCAGTCAGCTGCGGAGTTATAGATGAAGTGACAAGGATGGTATCTTGATTGTATCCAGCTGCCTGGAGTAAGTCAAGGGCAGAGAGGCCCCGCGTGAGGAGCGGCGCTCACTAAAGCCTCCAGAGGAATCCGAAATTCAGGACACCTCCAATGCTTTTAGAGCAGCAGAGTTTAGCATTCTGTGACCCAGTGCCACCAAATTAAGTCCCTCTGGAGAGAATGCTGATAAGCGGCTTCAGCTAACAGGAAGAGGACTGCAATATTAAGAGCATTCAACATTACCACTGAGCCAGTATTACTATTATTTCTGGAAATGGGCGCTGGAAGAAGAACCCCTTGGGAAAGTGATCTGAGGTTCCTTTGCATGGACTACGGAGCTGTGTCAACTCATAGTAAAGGGGCGGGGTGCAGCTTCCTTCTCTCAGTGGTTCCCACCGAAGGGGTGCATGCCTCCCTCTCTTCCTGCACCTCACCAGTCTGCCCCTACCTTGCCCATCCCTGATGTGTAGCTCCTTGTGCTTGAAGCCCTTCAGGAACCTCTTTAACCCCATCGGGGTGAAGGGGTGAGTGTTGTACCCCTGTGACTCGAACAGGCAGGTGCTTGGTGCTGAGCAAAGGAAACTGGCCATGCTTTTTCATGGAGTCTGCCCAGGCCCACAAACCGAGCAGACATTACGGTTTACATGCTGCGTCGTGGCTCTGGGCTATGTGAAACTGTAATAGTATCATATTATTTTAATCTGCTGAAATACAAACCCCAGAGTCGAGAACAGAGCAGCAGCAGTACACAGCTGAGGAAATGTTTGACATGGATTCATTTGTCTGCAGCTCTGAGGACGATGCCTGTGGCCGGTTAACTCTGTTGGGTACAGCATCGTGTTGATGAGGCCAAGGTTGTGGGTCCGCATGCCCATGAGGTGAGCTGGCTTCACACAAAGGACAGCTGTTTTCACGGGTCCAGACTGGGCTCAAGACCCAAGTCAGACATCACCTAAAAAGCACGTAGAAGATGATCACAAGGAGGTCTGAGCAAGAGACAGCGTAATGACTCAGCAAATATCCCTTTACCTGCTTCTGGAAAAGCAATTTAAAACATGTGCTTTAGCTACGGTGAATTATTACTGCGATCTTCACACACAAAGGATATCACGTTATTATTAATGGCACCGGCTGATGAGCCCTGCTGCAGACATCCTTTCCGAATTAAGGAGGGTGCTGGCGCTGGCTGTGAAGAACAGAGAAGGGCTCTGTGCTTCGCCCTTTCATTCTCAGCGCCCGCCTGCTGAGATCCCGCCTGTGCGCGCATTCAGCACGTGTGTGCGGAATGCCGGCGTGTGCCGGTGCTGTCCTTTCCGTGTGCGTCGGGCATCGTGGAGAGTAAGACAGACTCTGCCCTCGTGGAGTGTGCATTCTGTGGGAGGGACATAGATAATAAAGAAGTGACAATAAGTAATGAACAATTTCAAAAAAATGAAACTTTGGTGAAGAAAGCATAAGGTGAGGAGCCGGGATGGAGAACGGCTGGTGAGGGGAAGTGTTTATCTTGGAGAGGGAGGTCTGGGAGGGCCTCTCAAAGCAGCACATTTAGCCAAGACCTGGCCGACGAGCAGGAACCGGCCTGTTGAACGCTGCAGTCGGGGGAAATAGCAAGTGCAGAGGGCTGAAGGTGTAGTCACAGTTGGTTAGAGACCAGAAGAGCCACTGAAATCGGAGAGAAGCGGCGAGGAAAGAGGTTGAAGGGTGGGCAGGCCCTATAGAGTATGCCAAAGAGTTTGGACGATATGCTTAGTCAGTAGGGATCCTTTTTTATTTTGTTTTGGGGGGAAACATAAAGATTTTGAGGGTAAATGTTACAGGGTGCAGTGTGTCCCTCTAAAAAAAAAGATTCATTGAAACTTGAACTCTTAGCAACCTTATTTGGAAATAGGATCTTTCCAGAGGTAACCAGACTAACATGAGGTCATTGGCTGGGCCCTAATCCAGGAGAACTGGCCACAGAGACACACCCAGGGAAGAAGGGCAAGTGAAGACAGAGGTTTGGAGGGATGCATGTGAGAGCCGGCAATGCCAAAGACTGACAGCCAACAGCAGAACTCAGAAGAGGCCAGGAGCTGTCCTTCCCCTGCAGGTTTCAGAGGGGGCCGGACCCTGCCAGCACCTCGACTTCGGACTCGGGGTTCCTATTGCTCTAAGCCGGCCAGTTTGCGTCACTGTGTCGCAGCAGCCCTAGCGAGCCGACACAGGGAAGTGCTGGCAGCTGGCTCTGTCCTTGGGATTGAAATGAAGGGTCCTCCCTGGACTCAGGGACACCTGGGTGTCAGGGAAGCCCCTGGCTGCTGCAGCAAATGGCCATATGACTTTATACATATACAGGGAGGGGCAAAGTTAGGTTTCGAGTTATGAGTACGTGAAACTCAGAGTTTATTCTTGCTTTATTATTTATTCATATACATATATGCATAAGTATGGAAAATAATGCATATGGGTAAATAATGTAATGAAAATAATATAAGTTTAAATTTTCTGTGTGTAGAAAATAAGACAGAGTCCCCCCTGGTTGAATTATCCTGTACAGCATACCCTCACATTGTTTGAGAAGTACTCTTTAATGATCATTTGGAAGAGCAAGAGTAGAAGCAAGGAGATAAGTTAGGGGCAGACCAGGTGAGAGATGAGGGTGGGTGGGCCCGAGAGAGCGCTAGGAAAAACGGCAGCGGGTGGTCAGGAGAGCCAGCAGGCCCTGCAGAGGTTGGACGCGGGGAGAGAGGAAAAAGAAAAGGAAGGAACTGGCTTGAACGATTGGGTAGATGACTTACTGAGATGGAGAAGATGGAAGGAGCGGCTTACCTGGGGATACGCAAACAGGAGTTACGCTTTGGACCTGTTAAGTTGGAGTTGCCTGTTGTTTATCCAGTGGGAGATAATGAGCAAGCAGTTGCTTATCTCAAGAACGTTCCGAGCCAAGCATAAATTTAGAGGTCGTTAGATTATACAGAGTATTTAAAGTGATTGGAGCTGGGTGCGATCGCTTAGCGAGTTTGACGGAGAAGGCTGGGTGCTCGGGACTCTGGTGCCGAGGTCTGGACACGGGCACAGAGTCGGGGCTGGGGAGCTGCGTGTGGACCCTGGCACACTGTCCTCACTCGCTGGTTAATGGCGTGAACTTGTCCTGTAAAGGTTGAACTAAATTACACAGAAATACGTGGGGAAAGGTACTGGAAGTGTTCCACCCCAAGTTACCAAATGCTGTTTAACAGAACTGTAGTTAAGGGCATTTTCAAATATGGAAATCAAATGTTGTTTTCAGTATGTTATACATTGCAGAATTTCTCCATACTCCTAAGTGTATGAAGTCTTCTTAAAGGTCATGAGAATGGCTAGCTGTGTGTGCCAGAGAAATAGCTATTTATGTGTTTTTAGAAATACAGACTTTATAAGTTTTCACAATCACCGAAATTTAGCAGAGATCACAACAGCGGAGTTAGTCGCAGGGTTCCATGTATCATTCCTTTGCGTGTTCTCTGAATGACTACCCACTTTGGCCCAATTCAGTACACTTTTACTCCACATTTTTTGAAATTTCCAAGCAAGCACAGGAAGTTTTTGAGGAAATCAGAATCCACATCCGTCTTTGAATATTGGCAGAAGAACTAGCACCAGTGCACAAGGCCGTCTTCAGAAGCATGTTCTGACCTCAGTTAGTGAAGATTCAAACCTCTAGGGTCTGTCAGCACCTGTTTGGATAATTTCACATCCACTCTGCTCACTCCTGTCTGAACTTGGAATCGACTGTTGATGTGTTTCTGTCCGTAGGTCTGGCGGGAGTTCCCTGACCGGTTGGTGGGCTACCCCGGTCGCTTGCATCTGTGGGACCATGAGATGAACAAGTGGAAGTATGAGTCCGAGTGGACCAACGAGGTGTCCATGGTGCTCACGGGAGCAGCTTTTTATCACAAGGTAGGGCGTGGGGCTGGCGTGGGGCCGAGGGGACAGACTGAGAGTGCTGTCCTCATTTCACGTGGCCCCATTTAACTTTTGCTGAGTTTAGGAAAAGTCTTCTACCTAGAGGGCTTTGAAAGGCCATGTTGCATGATATTTCTTAAAGAATTAATTTACTGTTTTTCTAATTCTGAAATAATAGCATGCTCATAGTAGAAATTATAGAAAGTTCAGATCAAATTTTATTACATAATAAGAAAAGTCAGCCCTGGCTGGTGTGGCTCAGTGGACTGAGTGTTGGCCTCCGAACCAAAGGGTCGCCAGTTCCATTCCCAGTCAGGGCACATGCCTGGGTTGCAGGCCAGGTCCCCAGCAGGGAGCGCGTGAGGGGCAACCACACACTGATGTTTCTCTCCCTTCGCCTTCCCTCGCTTCTTCTCTGAAAATGAATAAATAAAACCTTAAAAAAAGAAAGAAAAGTCACTTATCACTTTGAGAACCATTATTGTTGTTGAGATATTTTTCCCACTTTGCCTTTTATGTATTTACTTGTGCACATATGCCATTATAAATATTCACAGTAGCCTGCTAATTTCATGTATTATATTGGGAGCATTTTCTCATGTCTCTAACATTTCCCATTTTTTTCTTAACGTCATTGCTAATATACCAGTATATTTAGTATTCTATAAATTATGTGTAACTATTAGTCTATCTTTGCATGTTTAGGTTGTTTCTATCTTTTTTGCTGTTTTAGATAATGCTTAATATTTAATGTTTAAATAATGATTAATAACCATTTTCATAACTGTTTGTACTTTTGACCATTATGATAGATTCCTAGAAGTAGGATTCTATTAAAGGGAATAGAAATTTGGGGGAGGTTTTGGTACATATTTTTGTCTGTTGCTTTCAGTATTGTTTGTACCAATACATACTCCCACCAGTGAAATATGAATATATTTTAGACAAATATATTGTTTGTCTTACCATACACTGCCTTGCACGAAGTGCATGTGAAAATGGATCTTCATGTTCTGGCTGATTTGACTGCTCGTGAGATGAAATTCCTTTTGTGTATTAGCGCTTTGTGTTTCCTCTGGTCTGAGAATTACCACTTCCCGTTTTTGACTCTTTTAATTAGAGAGCGACAGTAGAATACTCGGTTCGGTGATAGGGTGTCCCAGAAGGGTATAGTTCAGTTAGTACTGACTCGTTCACTGTCATCAGCCGCATGAAGAGCTGAGGTCTGGAGAGAGATCTGTTCAGCTCAGCACCGTCGCCTTAACCCGCCGCCCACCGATGCTGGCCACTGTCTCAGTGCGGCCGCCCTCGCAGTTTCGGGGCTCTAGGTCCAGGAGGGTTTTTTGTTCTTAGCAATAATACATAAATAAATAAACAAACAAACACATAGTGGTGGAGTGTGTACACTTGTTAAGTTTTTGCCCGTGCATTTGATGCCGTTTTCATGCGTGACGGCTAGGGTAGTTTCCGAACCGCCCCGGGTTGGTTTCCCTGTAAAGAGCGTGCACCTTGGCGGGTCAGCCCGCTGTCAGCCCGTCCCTGTTCCCCTGTGCGCTGGCTGCGTGGGAAGAACAGAGAGCACAGGGCTGGGCGTCGTGGCTCTGGGGAGGGATTCCGTGCCGATGAGTGTGTTGTGTGTCTGAACCGTGTTCGTAAAACACTTAGTCCGCAGGGCCCGCCCCCGACCACACCTCCACGTGGCACCTCCCCTCTGCTTACAATAGGTGACTTTGAAGAGAATGACAGTGTTGAAGGTCTTGGTCACCTGACCAAAAGTGTTCTGGTCATGCCTTCGCCCTTTCCGTCGGTACGGTGTGGGTTCAATAACAGGAAGCTTGTGCCTGTGCCCCGATTGAGTTGCACTTTATCTGTCCACCAGAGGGAATTGCTACTTGAATGTTTCTTCTTTTTGTCTCACCTGACAGTATTTTAATTACCTGTACACCTACAAGATGCCTGGGGACATCAAGAACTGGGTGGATGCTCACATGAACTGTGAAGACATCGCTATGAATTTCCTGGTGGCAAATGTCACAGGGAAAGCTGTCATCAAGGTAAGAGGCGTCCTTGTCCAGCTCTGCCACTAACCTACTTTGTGGTCTTCAGCGAGTCTCCTGTCTCGGAGCCTGAGAAGTTCTCATGACTAGAAACGAAGTATTGGACTAGCTGGACACTAACTCCCTTTCCGCTTTTTGAGATTCGTGACTGATACCGTCACATTGTAAAACCAAAGGGTGGCTTTGATAATTTACACATATTTTTATACAGTTACTTTAGTTACTATTTTTAAACTACAGTGTCAGAGGTAAAGGCTATGATGGGCCATCTGCAAATCATGTTTTCAAAAAAATGAGTTTTATTCTCAAAGCTGATTTGGAGTCTAGTTGTTAAAGGACACAGTTCATGTCATTCTCAAGACAGCCAATGTGTTTTTCATAGACACTGAGATATTTGGACAATTAAAACTAGTTGTCCCAAATCTTGTCTTTAAATATCGATTTTTGGGCATTAAAGACTACCTTTACTATAATAATATCAGAGACCCCGTGGGATGGATACTTACCTTTGGAAATGCAGATTTTGCTCACATTCAGTCCCTTGAGATGTCCAGGGAGCATGTGCTTCTGTATGTGAGGGAGTCATCTTGACCTCGTTCGTTCTGGGTTGGGATCCTTGCATGACAACGGCACTGCTTCCCGGCCAGATCCCCGTCACTGGAATCCCCTGTCCTGGGAGCTCCTGTTGGAAGCACGGCATGACATTCCGACTGCACCCTTGTACTATCGATTGATGAGAGAAGCCAAATTAAACCAAAGTGACCAAGGAAAGAGGAAGAACCGCTCTCTGTGCTCTCCAAACCTGACCCAGTTTCCATCCTGTCCGCCAGCTCTAAGTAACTGTACAGACAGCTCACTGCAAGGAAAATTAAAGAATGTACATTGTGAAACTCATTTTAAAGGAAGCTTACCTCCAAAGTTGCTTTGTGACCTGCGTCAAGCTGTTTTTAGCCACGCTTGCTTACTCTGGACAGTAACTCCCGGTGTCCTGTGCTTTCAACCTTGCCTGAATTGTCCAGCTTTCTTCCCCTCACATTCCCTCTGCTGTTTACTTGCCTTCACTTGGTTAGGATAGCAGCTTCCCCTGAGTTTGCTACAAAATCATTGGAAGTTCAAGGTTTGGGAAGGTGGGGGAGAATCAGGGAAAAGGATTCAGAGGATAAGGGACCATTGGATTTTGTTTTCTAATTCAAGGGAATTGCAAAATAACCTGGCACCCTCAAGAGCCCGGTGCTGCTCATAGCATTTGCCGTGAGCTGGAAGAAAGAGAAAGAGCTCCTGTTGGAACTAAGGTTACGGTGAAAGTTATGGGAAGCTGTATTTCATCGCCCTTATGACTGCAAGAACAAATGGTGTTTATACAAGGACCTTGGCAGTGAGAAAACAGTCATTAAACAGGAATTAAGGAGCTTGTCATCACCACTTCTTTCCAGTTACAGAAGGCAAAAGCCCTCCAAGCCTTTTTTATTGGGCCCTTGTGAGTTCTGACGTTGGCCGAGCCAGGCAGAATTGAGTGGAGGAATGAATGGCGAGGTGTGTGCGTGTGCGTTATATGTACAGAGGGGAAAGCATCTCCACTCATGGAGCAGAAGCATGCAGAGTGGTGTCACAAGCATGATTTTATTGTACTTGGCACTGACAACCAGGTGTGTTTTTGTGCCCCTCTGGCAGGTAACACCGAGAAAGAAATTCAAGTGTCCTGAGTGCACAGCCATCGATGGGCTTTCACTAGACCAGACCCACATGGTGGAGAGGTGAGTGAGTCTCCTACCAAAAGTCTGCCCTAGCTTCTGATCCCCATTTCCTGCCTTGTGCCTGTTTATGGCACTGTTTTTGAAATACAAGGACAGCAGCTGGTAGCCATAGTCACCTCCTTTTGCACTGTGGGAATTGGATTAGTTCAAGCCCAGGTCACCCAAAGAATTAATTTGGAATGCTACTCACTCAATTTATAATGGCTAGAAGGGTCTTAAAAATATAGCTGGCCTTAAGCTTCAGAAGCCAGATTCTCCATTTCCACTAAGTAGTTAACCATCCACAGTCATTTGAATGGAAGCTAGTTAATTCCAAGGAAATACTGGGGTTTTTTTTTTCAGGGTAATATCTCCCTGTTACAGTAAAAGTTTGGTCAGAAAGAATTAAACCAAACCCCCCCCCAGAGACAAATTACCTTTGCTGACACTACTGGAACACCTACCAAGAACAGGACTGGAAAGCCCAGCTATTCGCGTTACTGAGAGAGGGGAGTGGGGGTTTCCTTCAGTCGCTCCTCAGCGAGCACACACTTGGTGTGGAGTGTAGCCCCGGGCTCTGTGGGTGAGTACAAAGGAGAGGAGATGCAGGTCTTCTCTTCCGACCATCACGATCAGGTAGCAGACCTAGGAGTTCTCACTTGTAACCTGAAGGTCCCCGAGCTCCAAATCTCTTGAATCCAACCCAATTCTTCCTACAGGCAACTCCTTATACAAGACAGTGAGCTCTTCCATCCAGCAGCCCTATTGTCAGGGACTGAAATTCACTGGGAATGTGACAGTGGCTGTGTAGAGTGAGGCATCTAGTTCAAGTTTCCAAGCATCCATTTCTGAAAGCTGTCAGCCATATTAAAATCCTAATACTTGCTTTCTTCTTACTCTTCTTACTATTACTCTCTACATGCTCTCTCTATCTCTTTCATATGTAAATATCTTACCCAAATGACATGACTTGTACCAGCTGTCAGTGTGAAATGTTCTATTACGGAGATTTTGGAAATGTCTGTCACTGGTGTCATAAACACTACCCGTCAAGGGCAGTGACAGTGGCTGTCATAGCTCATTGGGAAGAGAGGCCCCAACCATAGTTCTGTTGGGGCACACAAAATTGTTATTTAAGCCTACCACTGTGCTCTGTGTTTGGGGAGAATTTATCGCATTGAGCAATTGGTTATTGATTGCGCTAAGTTACAATAGTGGGATTATATAATCCAAGAAATAAATTATAGGGAGAAAAGTTGACCTGATAATGGCCTTGAAGCTCATGCTAAGGCTAAACAACTCCTCTGTAGCACTACTGAGATTGTTACAAAGGTAGAGACTAAAATGCAGTGAGAAGGAGTTACCAAACACTGAAGAAAGTAACCAAGGGAGATGTGGAGGCTTCCTATTGGAAAGAGGCCTTTGAGAATAGAATAGGCAACTTGTCCGAGTACTAGAAGGGAGACTCAAAATGTTATAACCGATCAGAGGAAAGAAATTACTTCTTGCCAAGTTGATTTTTTAGGAATAATTTTGTAAAAGACATGGCATGTGAAGTGAGCCTTCAAAGGTCACTAGGGTCCCAGCTGATGATACGCTAGACAAGAGGAGACCATAGGCAGGGGACACTATATGATCAAAGGTGCCAGTCAGCAAGTTCAAGATGCATTTGGCAAGCAGTTAAGAAGTTCAATTTGGCTAGAGCATAGAGTTCTGGCCTGTTAGTGCACAACTGCCTTGAATCCTCAATTAAGGAGCCTGAATGTCTTTTCTCAGGCTCCAGTGAGCCACAGGAGGGTTTTGAAGGGGGGGTTAGCTTTTTTTCTTCTTCTATATTTCCAATTTGTTCTTTACATGCAAGAGGGGAATAGCTTGATCTAAGTATTGTTTTGAGATAAATTTGGAAGTAATGCATAGGATGGAACAAAGATAAAGAGAATGAAGAAAGAACAGTCAGAAGGCATGAACTATACTGAGTGTGGAAAGGAAGGAAGGAATTAAATTGCAAGAGATTTTTCCCCCCGAAAGAAGATGTGCTAGAACTTGTTTCCAACTGGGTAGGTGTGGGAAAGTTATGGAGGAGTCAAGAGAGAGAACTTCCAGATGTCCAGTCAGAAAGAACGGTATAGTACCTCTGATAGTGTAAATAATCCAGTTGGGGGAGATGCTAATTAGGGGAGTGGTGGGTGCATAGTTGTACCTTTAATAGTGTAATTCATGAGGCCGAGAAGAGACTTTAATTGTGGGTGAAGTTGGAGAGGAGTGAGGTAGGTGAGTTGGGGGTTCTGCCCCCGTGTGTGCAGGGGTAGATACGGGGCAAACAGGCGGAAGTGTGGGACTAGAACTCTAGAAAGATTAAAACAATGATATTTGGAAGACATCTGCCCAGTGATGGCAGTTGACTAAAGAAAGGCCAAAGGCAGAATCTTGAGGAATTCTGACATTTAGGAGACAGAACGAGTTACCGGAAACAGAAGCGACTGCTGGAGAGGCCGGCAGAGAACCGGGCTCTGCAGTGCTCAGAGCGGGGGAGCAGCAGGGGACCCGCACCCTGGGGGGAGGGGCTTCGGTGACTTTGAAAAAGAATCATGTCATAGGCTGGTGGGGCTCCAGGGTAGAGAGCGTGAGTCTGTGGTGAGGAAGGAGAGTGAGTGAATTCAGACTGCCTTTTTGAAGAAATTTGTTAGGGAATTGGTTGGAAATCAGTTAGAAAGTGGGAGTAAAGTCATCCAGTCTTTAATCTGGATCACTAATTAAATAAGGCACTGAGATTGGGAGGGAAGAAGACATGGTTTAGGCCGTCTTGTGTAGACCAAGAGATGGAGTTTGAACTGTAGAATGATTTGTTTGTCTCACTTGTGTGATGATTCCTTTTGCAGACAGAATATGCATTTTGCACACAGTAGTGGAAGGAGTTAACCATTTCACAAGTTACGACCTTATGTTGGGTTTTGTGGTTCAGTAAGCTTATTTATTCTGTCTTTGGGTTCCAGAATGAGAAACCTCAGCTGTGCAGGGAAGTAGCTTTAATACCTTATATCCATTTCCAGAATCTGCCTTTACATCTTGAAAAACCTGGAGAATTTGTTACTGCTCATTTTGACCAACAGCTTCAATAAGGTCAAGGTGATATGGCCGACAGTGTTGATTTATGAAAAAGAACATAGTATTTTCAATTCAAGACATTCTTTGTTAAAATTATAAGTTTGCCACGTGTTAACTGTCTGACTTAAGGAAATTGACTTACCTTATCTGAACTTCAGTCTTTTCATCTCCTAAAATGGGGATATTAACAGCTATCAAATCACAGTATCCATTCATTGGTTCAACAAATATTTATTGAGTATATTTGTACCAAACACTATATTATATGCTGGTGACTAAAGTAATTTTACATGAGAGCTCGTAGCACAGTGCCAGGCAGAATTCTTTTCCTTCCCAGTGTCCCAGCATTAGTACTAAAGTCTCCTGGTTACTTAAGGTCATTGTATGTGTTTGAGAGGAAAACAGAAAACCATTGGTCCTTTCTCCCCCCCCCCCGCCTCCCAGATACTTCCACCTTTAGAGATAGGTATTGGCAGTTCTTAACCTGTTCACACTCAATTAGAAAACCAACCCAGGGGACCAGTTTCTGACAGGGTAGCTGGACACTGTGCAGAACAACTCAGGTGGGCCACCAGCAGCAAGCCAAACTTCTATCTGTCCTGACCCGTTCCCCAGCCCAGATCCCTGTGTGAAAAGAAAGTAGAAAACGTTGTCAGTACCTGGCAGGAGAATTCAGGACCTTTACCATTCAGAGCAGGCCAGCCACTTCTCCAGTGTAGGCTGTAGGCAGAGAAAGAAGTACTCACTGAACCTGGCTTAGCCAGCGGCAGCTGTCAACAAGTCAGGCTGGCCGGAGCCCCAGTGGCCTCTTGCCTGTGGCCCAGGCCTGTTGGCAGCTCTAGTTACAGAGGAGACATTGTCCTCATTATTCTCCAGGGGGCCACGGAGCCTCTCTGCTCTGCCAAGAGCCATGATTCTTCTTTAATACCTACTCACTGGTCCCTGCACTAGGCAGAGCTGCGCTTTGCTGGCCAGAATCTACAGGCATAAGAGCTGGAAACTGGAGGAGTCAGCACATGATTACAGGCAAAACAACTGTCAAAAGTAAGACCTTGGAGAAATCTGACTTTGCCGCTGCCTTGACCCCATTATTTGAGCTGTTGTCCAAAGCTTGCTTCATACCATTTTGTTGAAACTCCTCAGTCTTTTTTCCCGATCTGTCCTCGATTTGGAACCTATGACTACTACCTCCTGAGTCTGAAAAGACTGCCAGCAGGAGGGCAGCTCCGCTCCCTGCGAGCGATGCTCAAGTGCAATGAAAGGAGCAGAGGCTGCATTGCCAGTGGCGCAGGCACGGTGCGAAGCCCCGCTCCGCCACTCTCCATCCCTTGGTCCTGGGCCAGGGTCTTTACCCGCTCTGTCCTACTTTCTCAGCCCGCCTCAGGAAGCTACTGGACACCCAGCCTTTGGGTGCATACAAGGAAACACTTTAAAGAATCAATATGATCATGTATGTAAAATATTGGGCATGGAATTGGTACTGAACAGTTGTTCATTCCAGCCCCTCCCCCTTGGGCCCTAGAATGGTGTTAATAAATAAATTTGTATCATCTCATAATTAAGACTTTAGCCCTAGCAGCCGGAATGCCTGGGTTTGGCCTTGCCTCGTACTCGTTACTTGACGTGTGGACAGGTTCCGCAGCCTCTCTGGGTGGCAGTCCTCCCCGTGTAGAAAGGGACTGGCGGTAGGACCTGCCCCACGGGGCTGTCGTGGGGGCGAAATGGGTCTGAGACACGTAGACCACTCTTGACACAGTATTAGTTGTTGATTTGCGGTGTCGGCGGACATGATGGCATGAGCTACAAGAGCTCAAAATGAAATCGTAACACACTTTTCTAGAAACAATGATCAAGAGACAAGAAGTAATAATGACTGGCTTCTTTATTAGTTGGTTTCTTCCTAAAGCTCCAAGTACTCAAATAAATACTTGTTGATTAAAATAATTTTGGAACAAAGCCCACAGTACCTCTGAGGGCAGAAGAGGCTCCTGGTCTGCGTCTTGAGGTTCAGCCCTTCCTTGGCAACTGGTTCTGCCTCTGATCAGTTCATTCCATTGTAGCTCTTGGTACCACAGCCCTAACTGAGGAGAGCGTATTGACCTTTTGGAAACTGTCCCTCAGCTCCCCTTGTCTTCAGAAGTGGTTTTTACAGGGTTGTTACTCCCCTCTGGTCTGCTACTGAAGCGTCCTCGTTACCCAAGAACAGTCACTTGGCCTGATTGACCAGCACCATTTCCCGCCAGGATGCCTGACCCGCTCACCTCCTAGGAGGCTGCTCACCAGGCTTGGGTGGGGGTGGGGGTTAAGGAACTGACTCTCCCCCCACCTCCGGCCACGCTGAGCTGTTCCGTCACCAACGTGGCTGCTGACTGCTGGTTCTGATGTGGAAGTGGCTCATATCATGGAAGCTGTTCTGCGGGGACTTCAGCTTTCACAGCAGAGCTTGTGGACGTTGACTGACAGTTTGCAGATTGCCACTCACAGGCCTCCAGCAAATGTGGGGTGAATGGACGAAGTGTTTATTGTTTGAAGTTGAGTTTCACCAGCCCCGTAAGGTTCTTTCGCCTTCCATGGCTCCGTGGGTAAGAGCCGCCTCCTGCCTGTTCAACTGCGGTAAAGCTAAGGCTCCATCCGAGCGGCTCTTTCTTTCGCCTGCTCTTGAGCTGGCAGAGATGGGGTTAAGAATGTTGGCAGCTAATCCACCTTGGTTTGAGGCCTGCTGGTGCTGATCTGGAAGAATGACTGGAATTTGAGGGGGAGGGGAAGAGGTATCTGACCTCTGCGGGCCCTCCAGAAGGCATTCGCTGTTCACTTTCTCCCCTGAACTGACAAAGAGTACCACCGCCCGCCACCCATCACTTCTTGTGTCCATACCCTTCCAACCTTTTTAAGAACCTGGGAGCAGGCTGGGGCTACTTGGATTTCTTCTGTTGATGTTGAACATTATGTATTTTGCTCTCACCTATCAGCCTCTTGAACATCTTTCTCTCCCCGCCCCCAACTCCCCTCCCTGTTACCTGCTCTGTGGCCCTCCTCCTTCTCCAACCCCGCAGGTCTGAGTGCATCAACAAGTTTGCTTCAGTCTTTGGGACAATGCCTCTGAAGGTGGTGGAGCACCGCGCTGACCCTGTCCTGTACAAAGACGACTTTCCCGAGAAACTGAAGAGTTTCCCCAACATCGGCAGCTTGTAAACCCTCCACGGGTGGAAGACTGAATGTTCAGCTTGGACAAAGGAAGAGAACAGGGCCTCCCTAGTGCTTTGATACCAGGGCGGGGACTCGAAGGGAAGATTGATGTGCTGGATCTTGGCACACATGCCCCTGACCTACTTCCTCGAGAACAGGAACCTTGGGAGACTGTCTAGGCCCCTTGAGCTGCGCCCCCTCCATCTCAGCGCTCCCCTCGATGTCCGGCAACCTCCCTCTCAGAGGGCGGTGGAGGCTTCGGTGGCTCCTGGTCTGCTTCCTGCTCAGGCCCCATTGTCTCCAGCTCCGGCGTCACAGTTCAAAAGGAGCTGTTGCTACAAAGCTGCCAAGGCGTGAAACCCACAGCCCACTTTGGGTTTGGGGAGCCATGGAAGAGAGCCCCCCACCTCACTTCTAGTTACTTCAAATCAGTGACTTTTTCGGAGGAAAAGCCAAGCCAAAATTGGGTGCAAAATCCAATCATAGTGGGATTTGATGGGCAGCATGGGGCGAGTGTGTTTACAGTTGTTCGTGCGGAAAGGAGCACCATCGTTAATAAATAACAAGAATAAACTTGGTTTCCTGTACTCACCACTGTGACCCTACTCCTGCCCTACCCTGTGGGCTCGGGACCTGGGTGCCGGGCTTGGGCACAGAAGGGCATTGGCTGCCGCTTGGGGCTCCTCTGTGCCCCATGAAGTATTCTGTTCAGTTGGCTTTTTCGACATGATTAAAATTTTTTATTTCTTTTTCTACCATGTCTGAAACTTTGATTATTGGTGGTCTGTGGAGCATCTTTCCCCTTTTGTGTATTTACCACCTCCTCCTCCTCCTCCTGGCTGCGGTTCCAGGCTGCTGCCCACGTGCGGGAAGGCGCGGCGGAGGAACGTCTGGTGCCACGCACGTCAAACAGAGTCAGCTCCCCAAACTAAACATTCTGAGGGAGGGGGTGTCCCGAAACCACCGCAGGCTCTGTTTGTTCCCTTACTCCGTCCAGTCAACCGTTGGCAGGTACTCTCAGGGAAAACAGGCCCCTGAGAGCCGCGCACCGAGTGTAAACGCTGAGGGAGACGTGACCCCACCCCAAGGGGACGCCAAAACTTCCCTCATTCTTTTGGTATAAACGTAACATTAGCCAGGGAAGTTCTGGCTAATGTTAAATGCTGCTGTAACAACTGCTTTGCAATAGTTGCTGGTATATTTAAATCGTTAAATTTCAGCATTTAGTAATACTGCACATGTGTGAATTATACCTCTTTAAGCCCAGTTGATGAGCAAATCTACTCTGGCAAATGTTAGATGTTATGCATTCAAAACAGATTTATCTGGCTCTAATATTAAGATTAGCCACAGTTTGGGCTTTAGCCATAACATACGTCCCCAGGACATAAAATATCGAACAGTGTGCTTGGAATATGGATATCATTACTGAAACCTCGCTCTGTGCCAGGCGAAGTCACTGATACCCTCTCGTTCTGTTGAGTGATGCGGAGGTGGGCAGTTACACGCTGTCGTTTTCGAACTTGTCCTTTTAACAAGAGTCACTTCACAGGTGTTCCCACAGGTTTTGAGAGGTCGGAGAAAGACTTCAGAGGTAGTGAAGCGGGGAGTTTGCACCGTGAGGACGTCACCTTTCGTGCTGAGGAGTGGGGGGCCGTGGGCAGGGACGGGGCGAAGGGCCGGGGGCCGTCCTGCGCGGCCCGTCCGCTTTGTAGCGGCCGACGCTGAAGCTGCAACCCGCTCGGCACGGCAGCCGCAAACACGGTCCTCGGCGAGCGCTTCTGGTTCGAATCATTGATTACGTACCAGGCAGTAGGGTGTGTGGGAAGGCATTTGGGTGTCATACTCCTAATACTGGGGATGGTATGACCGAAACCAAGAGGAAATGATTTTTTTGGTTGCCCAGATACCAGTAGCTAAAACAAACAGTGAGTTCTGTTTTGGGGGTTCTCTAGTGTGTGTTCAAATCTGGGGCAGGTAGAGGGGTAGAGCCCCCATTTCAGTCCCTGCTCACAGCCAGGAACTGTGCTGACGTCATTTGTGTCTGCGTTACGTCACCCTCAGTGCTCTCACCTCGGCCTTGCTGCTTCAGAGGTGTCTGCCCTTTTCATGCCACTGAACACACGGCCTGAGCGACTGGCTTCTCGTCCAAGTCTCCCTCCTAAAGAGTGTGTCTTTTCTTTCTTTATTTTCAAACCTTCCTACATACCTATTGGTACTTCTTAATCCCCTCACCTGGAAGAGGAACTCTTTAATCTGAGATCTCTGGGATCCCAAAGATCTGATTGGAGTCTTCGGTATTTTTACCACCGAAAGTCACAGGTTTCTGGACACAAGTGATAAAGATGTGACTGCTGGGTTAAAAGCCCAGACCCTTTGTGATGGTTTTCAGCAAAGGTAGAATTAAGAAGTAGATAAAGAGGCTTGGGAAGTGGGGCCGTGCTGTTGAGACTCTGCTGGCTCTGCAGTCGAAGCTCCGTGGGAACCCCGCTGAGAGAGGGAAGATTTGGGATGTTAAGAAGGTTCCCATCCACCGCCCATGCTGAGCCTGGTGGGTTTCTTTTGCTGTAGGGACAGTAGCTTCTTTCTGGGCAGGCCGCTTTTTCCGTTCATCTTGGCCCAGGTGATCTGGTGCAGCAGCAGAAGCCACAGCAGGCGGTTCGCCAAGCTGCCTGGCACAGGGAGGCAGAGATGGATGCTGAACTGGCCCCGGGCCGCTTCGAGCCACTCCCTGGGGAGCAGCCCTGGCAGCGGGCTGACCGCGCTGGCAGGCCGCTGCCATCCAGGAAGGCTTTGGAAGCCGCCTGCGCTTTCCACTGCGGGGCCTGGAGGCACATGAAACCCGTGGGGCGGTCTGCTCCCCTCACCCCAGAGCTGTGTTCCAGGCCCTGGGGCTCCCACCCTTGGCCAGTGTTTGATCCTCACCATTTTCTGCTTCTGAGTGAGACCCAGAAAAGCTTTTGGCCCCGCGATGCCAGCCGTGCCTACTCTGACCCTCCGAACGGGCTTCAGGCAGCTTCTTCCGGTGTGAGAGGGAGGCGGGCAGGACTCTGCCTCGGAGTAAGATCCCCCCCACCCCGTCTCTCCAGGATGGTGCATGCCAAGCTCAACTCAGCCTGTCTTCCACCTCTATTCAACCAACTCATGGGGTCCCCAGCTTCAGGTTCCCAGGGAGGGTGCGTGGGTCTCTACGGGCAACTCTACACCGTGACTTTAACGTGGGGCTCCCTGTCGCCACGCAGGGAAGGTGATGGGAGAGCCCGAACCCCCTCTCCCGGCCTCCCAGCCTCCTTCCCTTTCAAGAAAATGGTGAGTGGCCGTCACCTGTGTCTGCCGTTTTGTTTCCTCACATATACAGCCTTTTCGGGGGTAGGACTTTTTCTTCTCCAAGCCGATTGGGCCTCCGATTGCATTTCTTCTCAGTCCCCCTGAGGGCTCAGCTGTCGGGTAAAAGGCAAAGGAGGGGAAAGATGCGTTGGTGGTTTTCGAGAGGTCCCTCCCTGGCAGCTGTGTCTGCTAGAGCGTCCTTCAGCAAAGTGCCATTTGTCTGTGTAGGAAGGGTGTCCGAGCTGTGGCCAACGGGCCACATGTGGCCCGGGGTGGCTATGAGTGGAGACCCAACACAAAATCGGAAATTTACCCTTTTTTGCTCATCAGCTTTCATCAGTGTTTGTGTATTCAGTGTGTGGCCCAAGACAACTCTTCTCCCAGGGCTGCCCAGAGACGCCAAAAGGTCGGACGGCCCTGGTACAGCCTCTCAGTCGCTGCACACGGGCGGGAGCCGCCCACACAGCGGGGGCCGGCGCCATCCGCCGGAGACCCAGGCTGCGGCTGAGCTGCGCCCCCACGTCGAGCCTCCACCATGTGAACTGTGGCGTGGCATTTCTGCGCACTCAGTAGAAATCGTGCTTCACATGTTGGGCCTTGGTCTCTTCCCAGGCTAGCAGTATGCAGGACCACACTGCCGTGTGGAGCTGGGCCGCAGCGAGGCGATTCCGCCCTACTGTAGGCCATTGTAAGTGTCCCAAACACGCGTAAGGTAGGCTAGGCTAAGCTAGGATGATCGGTAGGTTAGGTGTATTAAATGCATTTTTGACGACGATTATTTTCAGCTTCCTGTGGTTTTTATCAGGATGTAACCCTGTTGTAAGGCGAGGATCATCCGCCTACTTGGGCTTTTAGGTGTAGCTGCCAATGTATATCGTTAGCTGCTGAACCCAGGGATAAACTCCGTGAACGTCTGGTTTTCTGGTAATCACAGCTGAAGAACAGCCAACGTAGGCCCTGATCCAGGTGAAGTAAGAGCATTTATTCACTCATTCAGCTTTTCTAATTGTTCGTTCATTCATCCAAATACACTCTTTGCAAGGCTCTGTGCTAGACCCAGGAGACAGAATTGAGCAGTCACTGTCCTGATCTTGGGGAGCTGCTGCGAGCCCATTAACGGCTGAGGACTCCGTACATGTAAGTTTTAGCCCCAGCCGTGAATGAGTATTCACTAACACCATCTGCCTCGGTGCCTGGAGGATGCACGGATTTTTTCATTTCCTCTTCTCATAGCACCTTCCCTTGAGTTGCACCCTTGCCTTGCCTTGGCCTTGGGAGTCCGCTGCCATGCCTTAGTTTCCTCTACCAGGAATGGTTGATGAGACACACGACGCATCAGGTCGCTTCTCCGTCTCTTAACCAGGGCCTTTGCCAGATCATACCTGATGATGCTGGCAGCCAGCCCTCTTCCGGCCCCTATTTCTGTTACCAGAGAGCTTGGGGGTCTGGATCCTATCTGGCCGCGTCAGGGTGGATTACCGAATGAGCGGTTCTTTTGCCCCAGTCCCTTTCCTGTGCTATAAATAAGCCCTG